AGCACAGATACTGGAGTTAAAACCACCTGGATCCAAATACCAGTTCTGCCATGTACCAGCTGTGTGACCTGGGGCACGATTTAAATCAATGGGGTAACAGTCCACGCATCATAGGGTTCTTGTAAGAATTAAATGTTATGTGTTTAAAAGGGTGTCTGATATATAGTTAGCACTGTGTAAGAGGGAGCTACCATTAATATTATTCCCCCTCTGAGCTACTGACTCCCCGAGAAGTCAAGCCTGGGTCTGATTTTAGCCTTGGCCTCCAAACTAAATAAATCTTTGCATTTAGTCTGCTGACCAATGGTCACAACTACTTGGCTCACAACTCCACCCTCACCTTTGCCCCAGGACTGAATTCTGGCTTGTGCCAGGAAGCATCCCTTGGAGCACTGGGCGCCCCCCAGCCTGTCTAGTTTCTTTCCTCCATGGTCTACAAGTGGTACTCACACACTGCCTTTGAGTTACTCTTATTGAATTACCAATTTCAGCAAGTCACCTCCCAGACGCAAGGAACTGACTGAAGCTCCTGGTCCCTTCCATGCAGTGTAAGGACCACCTTCTTTGGCTGTTTGGCCTTTTGCACATCACTCATTCTGGCACCAACCCTACAGCTAAAGCAAGGACAGACAGACAAGAACATCTTTTTTTTTTTTTTAATTACACATGAATAAATTCTCATTGCAAAAAAAGGAAACAAGTAAAGAAAAACAAAGATGAAAGAAAAGGTGAAACTACAAAAATATAGAAAATACAAACTAAAAGCTTCCCCACATCTCTTCATACTCCCCTCCCTAGAAACCATCACTGTCATCAGTTCACTGGCTCCTTCTAGGCCTTTCTATGCCCTTTTTGGGCATGCAAAGAAATAGTAGTTTTGCTTGGCTTGGTTCTTTATACATAAATGGGATTTTTGGCGGGTTTCTTGGTTGCAGCTTGTTTTTTCTGCAGAGCAATTTGTCTTCGAGACCTTGCCCCAGTTGCAGAGGATTTTGTAGGATGGCTTTACATAGTCTGTTTTCCTGTTGATGGACATTGAGGCTGTTTCCAAACTAAATGATGATTTCATTTTAGCACATCTTCCATCATATGAAACTATCATTTAAAAAGTATGACTTTAAATCAAAATAAGAAACATGAATTCTTGATTTTTTTTGGTATTCTAATTTTTTGTTTATAGTTGTATACAACAATAATCATAAAACTTTCATTCCTAGATTTGGTTCTATATACTTAAGCAGCATTATAATAAAAATAATTTAAGATAAAGTAGGGGGTTATACTTTGCATCTCTTTTTACAGACAAGCTTTTGGACTTTGGGCAAGTGTATTATTCCTATAATGCTATGTAAAAAATTACCCCCAAACTTAGTAGCTTAAAACACACATTTATTGTCTCACCATTTCTGTGCATCAGCTTAGCTAGGTCCTCTGGCACAGGGTCTTACAAGTTCAATCCAACTGTCAGCCAGTCCTGGAGTCCCCCCTGGCTGTTGGTCAGAGACCTCAGTTCCCTGTGGTGTGAGGCTTTCCGTAGGGCTATTTGCAGCTTGGCAGCTAGCTTCCCACAGAGCAGACTTAGAGACAGATAGATAGAGAGTGAGGTGGAAGTCTTAGTCTTCTTGTGACCTCATCTCAGAAGCGACCTTCTATCACTTTGGCCACAGTCTAGTCATTTCAAGCGAGTTAGGAGGTCCAGTTCTCCCTCAGAGGGGGAAGGGGGATTACACAGGGCGCAGACACCAAGAGGAGGGATCACTGGAGCCATCTTAAAGGCTCCTTGCTACCAATATCTTGGCCTCTCTGTACCTGTTTTATCATCTGTAAACATACACCTTGTAAGTCATGGTGAAGTTTAAAAGAATTCAGCTATGCAAAGTGCTTAGAACAGTGGCACAGGACACAAAACCAATGCAAATGCATAACATACACCGTGCAATACACAATACTAAGTCCATGATGGTTGTTCAAGAAATACCCAAACTTACTCACAAGTTTGAGCATGTGGATTTACCCCAGAAGCAAAAGTACTTTATAAAAGTAACAGTTCCTACCATAATTGCCAGGAGGCCTCACCGTCACCTCCAGAATTTCCCACAAGCTTTCCCCTTATCAGAAATTTCCGTGCAGCATGCTTCAATGCACTCCTGAGTCATCTTTAAATCTCAACAGAAAAGGCCGACCACACTTTGCTCTGAAAATGCACACCATTTGCCTGAGTGCAGAAGTTGCCCAATGTGCAAAACCACACAATTTGTAAACTACAGAAAGAAGAGCAAGAACTTGTCCATCTAGCTGGAGCATTTTTCATTGTGCTCAGCAGTTTAAGGGAGATTAGGGGCTCACCTGGGAGTTGTTTTTTTTTTTTTTAAACAAGACCCATCCTGGTATTTTAAAGAAAGAAAGGTTACTCAGTAGACCCCTTGTCTTTAAACTGTAACACAAAGGGGGAGAAGGGTTAAGGAGAGGGGTCCTGCTTCATACATGTCCCTTTTGTGCAATCCGGACTCAGTGGGTGGGGGATGGAAGCCAACCCGTCCTCCAGCAGATGTGCTAAATGAGTCATCAATCAGGAGATCACAAAAGACTGGGGGACCCCCCCCCCGCTACCTCCCCAGGCCACAAAGTCATGCATAAAACACAAGCCTGGCAATAGCAGCAACTCCCAAGGACAAACACACAACTCCACGGAACACACATCCCCTTGGGATAGAGAGTGTTCTCGCTCACAGTGCCCACGGTGCAAAGTCCACCTTCCTCTGATTCAAAGCCCCAAGGAAGGAAGAAGAAAGAAGCAGGACCAGAAAGGCCAGTCTGGCAGCCTGGAGAGGTCACTGATGTGGGTCAACCAGCAGGCCTGTCCACTCTTGTCCCACATACCTTCAGCAACTGCCCAGAGGAGATTTTTTTTTTTCTTTAATCACCCTGGTCGACCTAATCAAGAGGGCAATGACGTAAAGGAGGAAACAAGAAGAAATTTCTTCATACCACGGGAGGCATCTGACAGGGTAAGAGTGGATAGGTTAGTTGTATTTTTAGAAAAATAAACCAATTGTCTCTGCGGAGAACTGTTTTTCTTGTTCTTTGTTTCAACGTCTCCAAAACCAAATTGCTTTTTGAACCACCATGGCCTAGCTGGCTGGAACACTGGAAGCTCATGCCAACATGGCCAGGGTGGGAACCCTGCTTGTCCAGTAAAAGCCAGTATAAGCCCTGGGAGCGTGGGGTACCTGCACTGAGAGGCGAGAGGTGGAGGGAAGGAAAATAAATTCTGGTAAAAAATTCTACTCACTTGGGTTTTAAATTAAAAGTGGAAAATATATTTTCTCCAACAAAAGTGAAACCATGGGTGATTTTTTTTCTATCGGTGTCACTATTATGTTCTGGGTGCTCTAAAAAGGTAAAAATGAAATAAATACAATTTAATTTTTTTCCTCGCAAGATCTGCTGAGGAAAGAATTTATGTAAAGTGTGCCCACCAAATTCGGTGCTTTATTACAGGCTCTATAACTGTTTTCTGACCGTGTTGAGAGTGCTAATCTCAACTCCTTAACAAGACTGTAAGTAGGAGTTGGGTATAAATGAAAGGGATATAGACTAGTAGTGAAAAGGGGGCTCTGGGGCATTTTCCAACATTATCAGCTGTTTCATCTTGAGCAAATTAATCCCCCTGTGTCTCAGACTCCTCAACTATAAAATGGGGAAACAACAGTACCCATCACGTAGGGTTGTTACAAAATCCTTAGAACCATCCATGCCTGGCACATAAAACTAGGCAAAACCATTCTCAGAGCCCAAACAATGGCTGGCACATAAGTGTTCAGGAAACATTTACTGAATGATTGAATGACATCATGTCTATTAATTTTTTTCAAGACTTAGATCAAATTTCACCAATTCTATGCAAGTATTCTTTCTGGATGCCTTTCTAAGATGAAAGTTTATTTCTTCTGGGCTCTAACAGGATATTTCTTACATGATTTTATTCATTAAATATTCACTAATAGTATTTTTTTAAATACCTGACAATGAAGAAGTGCTTAGGATACGCCAAGTTCTTGGCATTTATCAAACTCATTTAATCCTCGCTGTCCCACTTATAAGGTAGGTACTGTTTTTATCCCACTTTTACAGATGAGGAAACGGAAGCGCAGAGAACTTAAAAGACCTTGCCCAGAGTCACACAGTTGGCAAACGCAGGGGGCGGTTCTTCACCCAGTCCTGACTGCTATTCCTCACCACTGTCTGTCCAACAAAGAATCATCCGATTCCCATCTAGGTAGCACCTTTCCCCAATTCCAGCGTCAGTGGCTCATCTTACGCCGAACAGCAATTCAACTGGGCGCATTCAGTATACATTAAATTAGTGCGTGGTTCACTCCGGAGTATCATCACCTCTCTAGGGCTTCGGCTGGTGTGCGGGGCCGCATCTACACCTTGCCTTCGACTTCCACGGGATTTCCAAGACGAGGACGCACCGCGTTGTACTGGAGGGTCTCCCAGTCTTCCTGAGGCCTCAAGACCCAACCCACATTTCTGGCACTCCCTCAGTGATCTCGAACTCTCCTTTTAACCAACGCCTTCCAGGATCTCCCTCTCCCTGGCCGGCTATCACGTCAGAGGCGCTCCATTGAACGTCGCCAGGTCCGCCGGTAAATCAAAAAAGAGTTTACCTGCTCCCTCCCCACCACCCACCACCCCCTCCCCGGGGGACCAAGACTGAGGAGTGGTCCACACCCACCCTTAGCAGCCCAGCACCAGGTCCCGTGCCAGCTGCCGACCCAACCCGAGCCCCTTGCCCTGCGCCCGCCCAAAGCTTCGCGCCCTGACCCAGCGTTCCAGACTCAGCCCGGCTGGCCGCGGCGCACTCCTCCGCTCGCGCGAGGGTGACTCAACCCGGGGAAAGAAAAACCTCACGGGTTTTTCCGACCTGTCCAGGGGCGCCGCGTCCCGCCCCGCCCACCACCCTAGCCCCCGCCCGCCTGAAGTCGTCCTTCTGGTTTGCGCCCGGGGAAACGCCGGCGTGACTCCCCGGGGTGTGGCCTGAGGACTTCGGCGACGCCTCGCCAAAGGGCGGCCCCCTCCTCAACCCGGAAGGCAGAGCCCGCGAGGCAGCGGCGAGCCGGGCGTGCTCACTGGCGCGGGCCGGGCCCGCAGCCTGGGCAGAAGAGACCCGCGCTAGGCGGCCCCCTGCGCGGCCAGCTGGACGCGGGCGGAGTCGGCGCCCCAGCGCAGGGTGGCTCTGCCAGTCCCCGCGCGCCTGAGCGGCCGCACACGTGTCCAGGCGTCACGTCCGCGCGCGCCCCCGGGGCTTGCGTCAGCTGCCGCTTCAGAAGCTGGTGGGCCGGGGTTCTGCGCACCGCTCGGGTTCGGGGCCCGCGACGCCGCCGGGAGGAGGAGTCTGGGGGCGCGGAGGGGTGTTGGGAACGTCGGGGGCCGCGGAGATCGTTGGCGCAGCCCAGTCCCCGGCCTGCCCGGCGCCGGCCGTCTCCGCTGCTCGGTTCCGGGCAGGGCGCGGTGGCGTTGCCTCGGAGCCTGCCGCCCGCGGGGCGTGCACCGCCTTGACCCCGGCGGCCCCGCGGCAGGCAGGCGCCCGCAGTTCCATGGTTGGTTCGGAGCGCGATGAGCCGCCCGTCCTCCACCGGCCCCAGCGCTAACAAACCCTGCAGCAAGCAGCCGCCGCCGCAGCCCCAGCACGCTCCGTCCCCGGCTGCGCCCCCGGCCGCCGCCACCATCTCGGCTGCGGGCCCCGGCTCGTCCGCGGTGCCCGCCGCGGCGGCGGTAATCTCGGGCCCCGGCGGCGGCGGCGGCGGCGGCGGCGGCGGCGGGGCTGGCCCGGTGTCCCCGCAGCACCACGAGCTGACCTCGCTCTTCGAGTGCCCGGTCTGCTTTGACTATGTCCTGCCCCCCATCCTGCAGTGCCAGGCCGGGCACCTGGTATGTAACCAATGCCGCCAGAAGTTGAGCTGCTGCCCGACGTGCAGGGGCGCCCTGACGCCCAGCATCAGGAACTTGGCTATGGAGAAGGTGGCCTCGGCAGTCCTGTTTCCCTGCAAGGTAAGCCCAGGTGCCACCCGCGCACCTTCGCCGGGCGATCTCCCGGAACTCCTGTGTCTTCCAGCCCACTCACAGGAGCTGAGAGGCAGGCAGGTGGCATCTCTTATTTTTTTAAAAAACATGTTTACACTTGTCCACCCTCCCCCATGCCCACCTGTCCACTTTGGGAGTAACTCTGAGCTGACAGTTGCCCCGAGCGCTGACCCCGGACTAATTGGCACGCGATCGTTGTAGAACACATCACAGCTCTCGCCGCCGGGTGCCTGCGTACCCTGCAGAAGTGTGCTTGGTGTGCTCGGTAGGGCTAGGCTGCACCAGTGAAACTTGGACCGGGAAGCTGACTGGGGGGGATTGAGGAGGGAAGAAATGGGCCAGCTAAACGCACCCTTTACCAGCGCTCGGCTTGGAAGGATTGGTGCTCGATTCCTCCTGCGCCCCGCGCCTGCCCTCTGCGCACGCCTGACACGTGGGAGCCCTCAGGAGTGTAGCTAAAAAAAGGGCGCCTACAGCCTGTTTTCCTCCAGCAACAAGAAAACCCTGCAAGCCACGCCTTTCCCTCTCCTAGCCTTCCAAGGACTGGGGAGATTTGTATTTGTACTAAGTGGGGGTGAAAACAAGAGTTGATCAGGAATTTAACTGGAAGGACACGCAAGAGCTGTTAACAGTGCTTCCAAGCCTACCACTTTATTTAGTTTAAAAAGTTATAAGTGCTCTTGCAAAAAATGCAAACCACTCAGAGTCAAGAAAAGTCAAGGGAAAGACCAAGACCTCTCTCCCCCTTTTCCACCATTACTGTGTATCTTTATAGATTTTTTTCTAGCCATATTTTAATACATTTTCACAGCTGAATATAAAATCGTGGATGTCGGTGTGTGTCACAAAGGTTCATAAGCACACACAGTAGACGCAAATTCTCCAGAAATAACTTGTGCAAATTGCTGTTTTAAAGTCATATTATCACGCATATTTTTCTACATCTGAAACGTAGCTCTTTCTCACTGTATTTTAAATGGCTGCATAGTTTTTGTGTGGTCACATTATAGCATCTGTTTACTTACATCTACCACTTGAAAATCTTCAGGAGTAGTTTCAGAGACATACCTCTCTACAGTGCCTCATTATAATCTAGGGCTAGACCATAACGTTCATTTTCTAAACTTAGAAATGGAAATAATGTCATTAATACTTTTGAGTTGTTTTTCTTTTTTCTTTGTAATAGGAACTGTTCTGCCTCTTGGGCCATCTGAGCTGTCTTGCATTTCTCCTTGGTGCTGCTTATTTTTATAGGGCAAGAGCTTATTTTTAAATTAAAAATAGTCACCAGAGAATTGAAGCTTGGGACTCAAGTCAGTAAAATGAGTGATTTAATTTGGTCTGTGCCCTGCCACAAATCCAGTTTAAAATAGCATATTCAAATAAAGGGTTGAATCTGTGTTTGGGCTCTGGGTTTTCAGTTAACCTTAATGAATTACTCTGCTTTCAACCACTTCTCATAGAATGCTAATTCACCCAGCCCAGTAGTTGTTTCTCATCAAATTTGGATAAAATATTTCTATAATTTTTAGGGTCATGAAGAAGGTGGCAGCCTAGTGATCAAGAGAAGATTTGGCAATAGTTGACATAACAGTGGGGGGTATTTGATGTTTGAGATATATTGTGGGGGCTGCCGGGGGTGCCCCACAGGATTTCTGGGGAGCTATCTTTTCAGCTCACTTTTTCCCAGAGCTTCAGCAGCTAATAGAAGAAATGGCTGTAGGTGAATTACAGTTCACAAATGAGCATTTGGTATCAGTCAGTATTCCGTAATTTATTTTTAAAAAGCAATCTCATACGAGCGTTTTGTTGGTCCCAAGAGGACGAGAAGCAAACAGTTGTGCTATATAAAGTGTGAAGTTTCACTTTCAGGGTCTAGGATTCTGGTTCCTACTGAAGCATGTTTTCTCCTAATGTGTAATATGCTAGTGAAGCCCTTCTCGAAAAACAGTTCTCTTGGGAATCAGGGGTACTCCATGTTTCTGACCATGTCAGTGACTCTCTGTGTCCCTATTCTGTATGAATGCAGTTAGGGAACACCATCACTTTGCAAGCTGAAATTAAACAGTCAACCATTCCCTTAGAGCCCAGGTGCCAAGTTCAGAAAGTGATCTTGGGGTCACTTGTGTGTGTGAGATTTATGATGCAGGAGAATGCATGCCTCAACTTTGGTTGACCAATAATCCGAACTATTGACAGGGCAACTCAACCAGTTAGTTTAGATAAACCAAAGTTGGCTTTATACAGCAAGCACCAAAGATATGTCAGTTGAGGAGGACTGAGGGAAATAGGGAGTAGTAAGACCTAGGTCAGACTTCAACAAAATAGATCTGTGTAGCTAGCTAGCTCTTGGCTTGTGCTTGCTCCTGGTAATCATAGGGATTGCCCTGTGACTGCCCCTGCCTGCTCTCAGAATCTCTCTCACGTGGGCTGCCTCATGTGAGAAAAACAATGTTAGACTGAAGTACCAGAACCCAGGTCTGAAGAGTAGCCTGGTGCTGCCATTGTTTGCCTGAGAGACCACCTCTTGGGGGCCTTCATTTCCTCAACTGTAAAGAAAGGGACGAACTGCTTGACTTCTAAGGACCTGTAGCTTCTAGAATACCATGAAAACAAGGGAGGCTGTCTGGAATGGTTATTGGGTGCCCTCTGTGTGCCAGCTACTTTGTGAGGGCCATCGTTTTTTAGTTTGCCTTTCTTTTTTTCCAGGTGAAGAAACAAAATGCCTGTAGAGAGATTAAGTGACTTGTCAAGATCAGTAGGCCAGTTCATCAGCCTGCGTCCCAAAGGCACGCATCCTTTGTGCTACATAGTGATTATGTATATGAGCCTTTATTCCAGGGCTCCACATTGTAACTTAAGGTTGACACCAGTAACAAAACCATCTGATCGGATGAATTTACCAGCTCTGACGGGAATATCCCAATGAGACAACATACATGTTCACTATAAAATTCACTGGCAGGAATTTTATAAGACATGTGGGATGGGAAGGCCAGGGGGAAATAGCCTGCAAACCTAATACTGGGGGGCATGTCACCAGTCCACAGCTCTGGACTGCCTATGCTTCCGTTGGCCCAAAAACAGATTTGTTGCCAAATAGCTTCCTTACAGAGGTATGGGGCCACTTAATTAAAGGCTAGAGTATTGCCAGCGTCTTTGATAGAGGGCATCACGTGCATTGTTAGCTCAGGTCTCCTTTTAAGAAAAGGATCTCTATCAGAGTAGGGCTCTCTTCCACTTGTGATATTTTTAGTCCATTCTATGGCTTGCTCTACTCCTGAGAAGTTTTGACATCCTGTTCCCATATCTCAAACCCACCGTCTCTCAGTGGAGCGTGGGTATAGGGTGAGAAGTGAAGGTTGACACATCTGTGCCCCCACTCAACAGTGTATTTTATTTTAATATCAGCCAAGTATTTCTCTCCACAACTGTAGGGAATGCTAAACCACTTCAGCCCACTTACACTATGATACATTTTCTCTCCTTTTTTTTTTTTTTTTGATTTCTTTTCTCTAAAAGTTTCCAGTAGCACATCTCCAAATAATTATTGAACTGGAAAGCCTAAGTGAGACAAGTCTTCCCTGCATTTGGGTTGTGACAGTGTTGTTTTTATTCCTTAAAATAAAAAGCCAGATAACCCCATTGAAAGTTCAAGCCTCTTCAGTGTGGACAAACCTAAATGCCAGCAGGGACAGGTGATGCAGGAGAGAGGTACCTGACTCGTGGCCCCAGAGTTCAGGAGACCTCAAGGAGCAGTAGAGATGGGAGCCAGAGAACACACCTCCGAAGAGGACAACTTGTGCTCAACTCTGGATGATTGGCAGGGGTGGGAGTATGGATGCAGCAGGCCAGACCTTTGGGTTTTTTCAAGAAAAGCCAGAAATCTGAATTTTTAAAATGCGAAATATCTCTATTTTCTTAACATTGGCCGAATTCATATTTAAATCCAGAACTTGCAGGCCAAACCCACATGTCTGCAGACCAGATTCTGCCTGCCAGTGTGCGACCTCTGATCTGGTTCCCTCTCAGAAAGCATTCACTGAGCCTGGAAGTTTTCATTTTACTCTTACCATACATGAACTTTGGAATTCTGAGAGGTCCCAACTGTAAGTGATTTTATAGCTTATTTTCATCTGTGTTTTGCCAAGAGAATATTCTATTCTGGCCCCCTGGAAAACCTGAACTGTTGTCCTAGTGACTAGATGTTTGACTTTGAACAGGTCAGTTTATTTCTTTGGACCTGAGTGTCTTTAAGAGAAAGAGTTGGACTAAATCATTGTATCAAGAATCCTGTAGGGCGCCCAAGTGGCTCAGTCGGTTCAGTCTCCCTGTGGCTCATGTCATGATCTCGGGGTCCTGAGATCAAGCCCCATGTCGGGCTCCCTGCTCAGTGGGGAGTCTGCTTCTCCCTCTCCCTCTGCCCCTCCCCACCACCCATGTGCTCTCTCTCTGCTCGCTCTCTCACTCTCTCAGATAAATCTTTTTAAAAACTAAAAAAAAAAAAAAACCAATCTTTTTGTGCCCTGAAATTTCAGAATCTAGTAAACTGTTCCAGGGAAGAGAGCACTAGGCCAGAGACAGAACTGGGTCCCCATCCTGGCTTTGTTTGACCTCGGTCCAGTCACATAGTTCCCTGAGCCTGTCTATCTGTCAAAAAGAATGGAGGTAATACCTAGCTGATGGGTGCTCTGAGATCAGATTAGAGCTATTAAGTCTTTTGCTTCATCATTTCAAATGGAAGGTGGGTGGTATCAGGGTGGTTGCTAGGTGATGGGTGATCAGTCACCTAGAAGTCTGAAAGGATACGTCAATTTTCCAGAACCATTTCAAAGATCTTTTCTTCATCTAAAAAGTTCCCCTAAGACAAAGATCATTTACTTGGGATATTATCCCTGTGGTCCTCACTACTGCCTGAAGTTGGACAGGCTTACTCGTGAAAGCATGCGCCAGCAAGCACTGGAGTC